TTAAACAAAAGCGATAAAACTTTTTAAAAAATTGCACGCCATTCAATTAAGATAGTAAAAAAAATTTAGTTAAAAGAAGGCAGTATAAAATTGTTGTTTTGTTTCTTAAGTTTAGAATAATGATAATTTTTTTGAATAAAAATTTGATTTGAAGGGAGGAATAACAGCTGGCCATAATTTTTTATGGCTTTGGCGTTTTATTCAGAAAAAAAGAGAGTGGGTTAATGCAATATTTTCAGAAAGTGATAAATTATATGTTCTCCCACACTTTAAAAAAAATTATATTGTTCTTATAAGACCTCACGGACAGAACCTTAGGAAAAAAAAAACATTGTGAATCTGAAGGGGAACAAGTGACGTGAAGGTATTAAAATGTCATATACATTTACATTTTTTCGGCCACAGATCACATGAAGGGTCAGGATTAGAGAAGTGGAAGAAAATCGATGAAAAAGAAATGGGGAGGGCCTGTGCCGAAAATTAACAGCTTCCGTAAGAGTCATGATGCCGGCAGTCGGCAGTCGGCAGTCGGCAGCCTGCTTCCTTCTCCACGTGCCTTCCATGTTCTGCGTTCTCTAGGAATTAATTTATTATCGCCTCTTATCATTTTTTTCAAAGAGCAGCTACTAATTAATTATCTTAAAACCTGTTTATAATAACTTATACGCTACTTTTTAATCATAATGCATGACATACGAGATAAATATGTTATATGAGTTTTGCTTCAACTTACATAAAACATAAAACGTGTTTATAACCGTGATTCAAAACTAGATTAAACCTGGGATCATGTATTTTTCATCATTCTATGCCGGTAAGCTATCAGCTAGGCATTACCCTTCTTCCTCTGTTAACTTGTTGTGTTTCTAGGACAGAATATTTTCATATATAATACTCCCTCCGTTCCTTATTATAAGAGACAAATAACTAAATTACGTTGATAAAAAAAACAGTTAAAATTAGTTGAGGACAATTAATGTGTAAAAAGTATAATGTTTTTTCCAACAATACCCCTATTAATAAGGAGAGAGAACAATTAAATTATTAAAAGAAAGAGAAGTGGGAAGGAAAGAGAGTATGAGTAGGAGACAAAATAAATAGGGGTAAAATAGAAAATCAATATAAAAAACTAGAGACAACTTTTAAGCGTCTCTTATATATAGGAACATGCCATAAGCATCAAATGTCTCTTATAATAAGGAACGGAGGGAGTATACAGTAGCATATAAATAATAATTTGAAATGTGTTTAAAGACTGTATTTATCATTTTAAGAAGGATGGGGCTTGTGTGGAGTAAGCTCGCAGGATTACTTCCCTCCGAGAAGGGGCGGGTCCCATTCAAAAATAAATTAATAACTATGAATTAAAGTGTTGGATTTAGGAGCAACTGAGGAGTAGGTGGGGAGAACGGGGAAGGCAAATGGTCTCTATCTGTGTTCCTATCATCCAACTCAAAAGCTACTGTTTTCTCGTCACCGCCTGCCTGATTTTCGCCTATATCATCGCATGGCACCCTTACACGTTTGAAATCTGATTATGCATTCTTTGTAATTATTTTTTTTTGTTTTTTCAACTTACTATGCCTGCTTTTCTTAAAAAAGATAAATGACATAAAATTTACTAGATTTTACTAGAGTATACCGCTTCTGATTCTCAATATAAAAATTGTATAAGTAATTTGTGGAGATTAAAAAAACTAGTTAAATTAGTTATTTTTAACAAATACGTGCTAATTAAGTAAGTTATTTGTAGCAAATATGTACTGACTTTTTTAAATTACCTTTATTCAATCATTTATATTGATGCTACACTTGAATGAAAATACTTTACAATTAATAAGAATATTTGTGAGAACACATTATAGAATTTCATTGTAAACATATTTTTCTATGAACTGTACGTAAGGAGACTATTTGATGAGGTTTACCTCTTCCAAGATGTTCAAGGGAAGGCATAGATGCCTCCCGAAGCCGGCAGTTACTTCTTTAAATAATACCCAAGAACCTCAATCAGTCATTCACGCCAATCTGAATTGGTGGAATTTAATTAACTATATTTTGAAAATTCATACCAATCCAATTCTGAACGAGGACACTAAATCATGCACACATATTTTTATTGACGTTCCTTGTATTATATAAACTTATTTATTTGTCGAACGATTTTGTTTATAGTTTGAAAACGAATAAGAGAAACAAAAGAGTTCGTGCCTTTTTTTATTTATTTTTTAGTTTGAGAGTTTTATAAAAAAGATTTGTGTAATTTTAGGGAAAACTAAATTCACTGTACTTGTTTTTAATATAAGAATTAACATAATTTCAACCAAACCCAATAAACCTCTCGGCTACTCGTAGAAGCAGAAGCGGAAAGAAACCAATTTCAGTACTCATCACTTTGATGAGTATGTTAAACTCATGAGATCTAGATTGCTATAACTTATTAGGATAGTTCATATTTAAAATCTTTAATTAATTATTTTTAAATAAAAAATTTACTTTTTGAAAGAATAATAGTTAAGAGATTATCCATATATTAGGTTATATACATATTAAAATAATTATTTTGAATAAATAAAAAAATCAAATATAAACTATTTAAATGAGATATAAATAATTTAAATCTGATAAGTTTAAAACGCTCATCAAAATGATAAGCTAAAACTCATTTCAGAAGTAATAGAAACAGTAGTAGTAATAGTAATAATAATAATAATAATACATCAATCCCCATTTGCAAGTTGCAATGGAGTTAATGAAAAAAATCATTGAAATTAAGAAAAATATGAATATGGTGAAAATTAGAAAAAGGAAAAAGCGGAGGTGGATGGATATGCATTGACGAAACAAGCAAACGAACATGCTCAAATGACGGCTGGTCTGACTTTAATCCCGTGTCCACCTCAATAAAGCCTGTGGATGTCGGTTTAATAATAGTAATATCCACTTGTCATTTTGTCAATCTCCAACTGATCCCAGAACAATGTGGGCAATGAGTTTAAATATTTTTCCTTTAATTTCTCCGCCGTCATCATCATCCCCCCATTCCCACCGCAACACAACGTATAATCCCATTGAAATGTTTACTTGGCTTGCTAGCTGTTACAACGTTTGCGCCGTTTGAATCGTGAAACTTGCCAAACCTGCTGTTTTTCATGCTCGTGAGTTGAAACTTTTTACTCCGCAAAGGGAATCCTACTCTGATTTTCACTCCTAACATGTTCCTCATAATCAATAAATATATTAAATTGGCAAAAATTTTAAATTTTCTTTTACTTTTATTTTTACAAATCAAATGATTCTTACATTCTGTTTATTCGCCCTCGTTTCGTATGAGAATTAAAATGACGGTATCAATAAAATGGTGGTAAAAGAAAAAGTAGCAGTGATGAAGAGTCTTACGTCATAGAGGTGGGAATTAATTGGGGAGGAAGTCCAAAAGTGAAAAGACGGGGGCAACCCACGAGCCTGAAAACAACAGGTTTGGCAAGTTTCACGATTCCAACGGCGCAATTACTTTAAAAAAGACAAATGATTTCATTATAAATATATTTATTTTCCATGAGCTGTATGTAACGAGACTCTTTCGAGTTTTACCACTTCTAAGATATTAAAGGGAAAGGATAGATCCCTTCCAAAGCCGATAATTTCTTCTTTTAATACTATCTCCGGTTTTTAATATAGATGTTAATGGTTTTTAATTTGATTTTAAATATAAAACTTTAATTCACTTTATTCTTCATATTTATTTTTTTCAAGATAATCTTTATAGGAGTTGTACATGTTAAATTGACAAGACTTTTAAATTTTACTCTTATTTTAAGAAATTTTATTTTCATATTCACAAATGATTTTCATAATTTTTTTTATTCGACCTCATATTCATATGAGAATTAAAAATGACAGTGTCAATAGAATAGTAGTCAAAGAAACAGTGGCAGTGGTGAGAGTACTTGTGTGATAAAGATAGGAGTTAATCGGGGACGGGGAGTCCGAAAGTGGAGAAGATGGGGGCAACTCACGAGCACGGAAACAGCAGGTTTGGCAAGTTTCACGATTCAAACGGCGCAAACGTTTATCTCAAAACGATGGGAAACCACCCCCCCCCCCAAAAAAAAAAAACAACTCCAATACAGCTTCAGTGCAGATAAAACACAACATTTTAACTATACAAAATACTAGTAATTAATTTTATGAATCAAAAAAGTAATTACAACAGCGTAAGTCTTTTCGGTTAATTTGGCTGAATACAATTAAAATCTTATAAGTAGTTAATTAGGTACAGTACTAATCTCTGTTAAGAACATACTCGTATTTAAAAAGCTCTATACAAAATTCTTTACTTATTTAACATCACAACGACCTTTTAATTATTAATATATTTTTTTATTTATGCGAAGTGATTAAATCTGAGGGTTACATTATGAAAAAAGGAAATATATTATATTAATGTATTGTTAAGATGGTTGAGTCCAAAAAAAAATGTATTGTTAAGATGGATTAAAATGCTCTATCCTCGAAACTTGAGCTACGAACAAGTACCTACCGGGACAAGTCGTAGGAAAGAGCAATTGAGGATGCCGGGTAAAACGCGATCAGTTGTTTTAAGTTGACCAACAGGTGGAACGGTTGGCGCGTGAGACGGTGCCCTTAAAAGATCCCGCCCACGGGGATCATGAGAAGCGACACCGCGGCGCGGTCCCCAAAATCGAATGCCCTCGAACATCACTGGGGACCAGGGATAGGAACGGGGACACCGCCTCTCACCACCTTCCTCGCAAAATGCAAAACGCGCCGATATTCTCCGCCGCGGATCCGCGGCCGCAAAGTCAGGCGTCGGCACGCGCCTTCCCCGTAATCTTTGGACCTTGTCAACCCCCTTATCACCAAAAACAAAAACCCAGGGGAGTGGACCCACATCAAGGACCGAGTCTCACGTGATCAACTCATCAACATCATCCAATTGCTCATCTCTCCTTCTCGGCTCTTTATAAATGCCTACCCCTTCTCTGCATCTTTCTCATACGATTCCCTTTTTCAAATTTCTCCGCCTCGTCACCACAAAATCTAAATCATCAACTCCATCAGGCCCAGCTACTTGAATCACAGCATTTTAACTCCCAAGTTAACTCCAGCACCTCCTTGTTTCCGCTTATAATGACGGGCTCTGCAGGATCACGAACTCTGGAGGTTAAGGTTCTATCGGCCGAGGGCCTCACCATCGACCGAAAGCCCGTCACGAAGAACGTCTTCGTCGAAGTCCGGGCGGAGACCCTCACCTGCTTCAAGACATCGCCGGGTGCGGCGGACGGTGTCAGGGGAAATCCATCGTGGAACGAGACGTTGATGGTCGAAATGCCTCCCCACGCGAGGTCCGTCACGTTTGACGTGAAATGCAAGACGTCCATGGGAACCAAGAGTGTCGGAATAGCCAGGATTGCTCTGTCGGATTTTCTCGGCGGGATTGTGCCGGACTCTTGCTTGCAGTTCTTGAGCTATCGATTGAGGGACTGGGAAGGCCGGAGGAATGGGATCATTAATTTCTCGGTAAGAGTGAAATCGGCGACGTCTCCAAAGTATGAGCCTTCGGTTCCGGTGCCGGCGAGGGGAACGGCGTTGCCGGACAAAAGATCTTGCGGGTTTCAAATGAGAGTGCCGTTAGGCGATCAGTACAATCCGCGGGGGGTCGTCACCGGGATTCCCGTTGGGTGGACCAGTTATACCAACAATCCTTGAGAAATTGTAAATTATTGTATAAACGACAGAATATTAGAATTTAGAAATTTAACGGGAAAAAAAGGAAGGAAGAAGAAGGTGTAAAAGTCGCCATTTTTTCAGTTTTATGGTTGGAGGGTAGTTGCTTGTTGATTGTTTCCCTGAGTAAGTTAGGTAATTTATGTTCCCGAAATTCGAAAATCCTCAGTCTTGGTTGTTCACGGAAAAAAAAAGTTTATAGCTATTATACCAGAGGATCAACTGAAATTCATAGAGAGAATCAAATTCTTTAAAATAACACTAGAAAACCCAATTTTTTCTATCAAACTCAAATCATATTCTGAGATTTAGATAAGTTCAATCAGGACAATAAATCGAATCCCTGGGATTCATGAAATTTTAAATGATCTTTTCCTGTGAATGCGCGGACACACTAACTAGATTTTTGCGGCTTGATTCTCTAATACTCCTCCGGTCCTAATTATAAGACCCAATTGACTTATTTGAGGAGATTAAGGAAGTAAGTTAAGTTGGTTATTTATAATAAATAAGTGTTGTCATTCCTAAAATATCCTTGTTAATTAAGTGTATTGGCTAAAACTATCATTATTAGAAGGATTATCTTAGAAAAAAATACATAAATATAAGAGAGAAAATGGACTGGGTCTTATAATTAGGACCAAATAAAAAGTCAAATTGGATCTTATAATAAGAACCGGAGGAGTATTAAATTTTAATTTCCTCTTCTTTTTTCATCTTCTTCCTTCCTTTTTTCTAAGTATTAGAGTAATATTTTAATGGTTGAGATTTAAATCTTTTGAAAATTATTATTAAAATATTAAATTATAGAAATAAATAAATAATAAATGATAAACTCTATTAAAATTTAATTCTAATAGTTTGCAAATGCACTAAATATTTTTAAATTTTTTGACTGGTCGTTTATAAAAATTAAAATTTTAACTGTTGAAATATGTTAATTCAATATTTAAAAAAAGAAAGAGAATAGAAAAAAAATAGAAAGGGAAGAGAAGAGGTTCTAAGCTGAGATTTCTAAGCACATAATAACAGTGAGCAGAGGGAGCGGAAATTCCTTCATCATATTAGGATCCATTTAAGAAGATCTTGTTTTCTCTTGGGAAAAAAGAAAAAATTGGTCAGCATACGAGGATCCTTTTTTCGCATTCAATTGTTGTTGTTAATATTTATGCCCTAAAAGCAAAGTGCTGTCGTTAATACTTTAAAATCGGTAAAAGATAATAACCGTAATTAGGAAAAAACACGCATCAACAGCACCAGTGGTCTAGTGGTAGAATAGTACCCTGCCACGGTACAGACCCGGGTTCGATTCCCGGCTGGTGCAGTTTGAGAGGGCCATGACTGTGAGGAGGGTGTTGCACATCTTGTGGTTGAGGTTCAATCACGTCTCTCTGATCCAACGGATGGTAGCTCGTGCACCTGAGCTCTCTTTTTGGCCCTGATGGTTGATTTTTATTTTAATTATTCCCAATCCATGTTTAATTAAAACATTTTTTGCTCATCGAAAATAAGAATTCCAGATCATCACTCATATGATTGGATAAACAGAATCTAAAATATAAAATCTTCTAATTTTAGCAAAAATATATGATTGCGAATCTAAAATGTAAAATCTATTTTTTTTAAATTATAGCGAAAATAAAAATGTAAGATCATCACACTTACGATTGGATAAACAGAATCTAAAATCAAGGTTTGCTTTCTGCGCGTCCAAGGATCATGCATGAAGAGAATTCTGGAGATCACTGTTTTATCTGCTGAGAATCTTTCTCAGCAAGGAAAGCCGGTGCGAAAGGAGACGCGCGTGGCGGTGAGGATTGACTCCACCGGCCGTCGTTGCACGACGAGGATGGCGAGCAAAGGTAGTTGCCCTTCATGGAACCAGAAGTTGCTAATGGACATGGCTGTGAGTTCTTTCAACGCAGCAAACTCAGTTACGTTGGAGGTACAGTCCAAGACGTTCATGGGAACTGTACAGAGCATTGGGGAGGCAAGAGTGGGAGTGTCGGAGTTTCTGGAAGATGACCTGCAATTCCTCAGTTACAGGTTGCGAGATAGGAAGGGAAGAGAGAATGGGATCAATTTCTGCATTAGGGTAATTAGGATGCCGCCGAAAGAAATCTATATGATATCCGATCCGACCACGGTGCCGGCCGCGGCTGATGGGAATGACAAGCATAAGGGTAATCAGTTCGGCTTACGGGATGAGATTTGTTCTGTCGCCCTGGGATGGCATTTTTAAGTAATTTTTGTGGTTAATTTTGCCTTGTAAATTTTTATTTAAAGACACACATATCATGCACAGGCAATTATTATAGTGCAAGTTCTTCATAATATCCCACTACGTGCGAGTCATTAGCTTTAGAAGTGCACGCAGTAACAAATTTTCCAGGTGCAAGCGTATAAGCTCTTTCATTCAAATATGTGCGTGATTAATTACCAGTTTCCGGTGACATTTTTATCTCAAAGATCTTGGGCGGATTCTAACAACAATTTGGATTTCTGTTTATTAGCACCAATCAAAGTATAGTAAACAAAGAATATGGCTGATCGAAGAAAATTTATCGCAAGCTACTCTGTAATGGATATTAATTAGTTCGGCCACAGGTAAAAAATTTTTATGACGGATATATTTGTAATGGAATAACCCTTTTCTGTTGCAAAATCTTTAATGATGGTGATCCTTTTATAGAGATGAGGAAACTATACTACTATTTCTGGTTCTAATTATAAGACATTGTTTATAATCTACAAACGAGATTTTATAAATAAGATCGGAGGTAATAGTATTTAACTATTTGAGGATAATCCCTTAGACATAAACATGATTTGAAAAATCGATGTTGTTATAGACTCTTACTAAAAGTCGTGAGTTTGCCATGTATATATACGAACCACATAGAATTAATCGATCCCGTGTTGCCCCAGGTTTCTTTTTTTGTTTCCGTAACTAGTCCTAAATGTAGAACAACTTCGTAGACTTTAAATAACGCCTTGCATTGTCTCACGATCAGCTTCTTTTCATCTCTTCTCCCATATATGATGACAAAAATTTAAATATTATCTCCATATGATTAGAGGATCTGGCCTCCAAGTCACTTAACTATTGAGGATATATATATATATATATATATATATATCATCCAATTTAATTTGATTATATGTTGGTATATCGATTCCCCCGTTTGATTATAGATAAGGGTTAAGTCAACTGGAATTGAATCAGTAACCGACACACTACACGGGCGAGCATCACTGAACCAGCAAGTTACTGGCAACTTTTTTTTTTCCCCTCCAAATTTTAAATACTACTGAAACCTCTATATGTTTATCCGATTTAGGTGAGCCGTTTAGAATTAATTAACAAAGTATGTTGATATTTCTGAATTATTCCCTCATCAGAATATTTTAACTTGCATATACAAATGTGGGCGAAACCTTCAAGTTTTAGTGTTGACGTGATGTAGGTCAATAAAAAAAGCTTTCTTCCCTTGCAGATTAAGTTTTGCCATATCATGCATTCACTTGACCGGGCAATTAAAGTAATTTCATATCCAAGCCCAAGTCGTTAAACTATATCAAGCATCCAAACGAACAGGTGTGTTAATCAAGCATTAATTGTAAGTTTAATATATATATATATATATATGTTTGAATTTAAATTCATGAGATTAAAGACCAGTTATGAAGTCAAGAGAAGAATTTCCCTCGGACGTTAATGAGAAGTAATTCCAACAAACTCTGGAGTTTTTCCTTGCAAATTTCTGATGAATATTCTCCATGTATAGAGCCGTAGTCTTCCCTCATTAATTAGTCATTCACAATAAGGTTCCCACACGTAACAATGTCTTGAACAATGAGCTCACTGAGTTAACCAAACCATATTTTGTGGCAATATATATATATATATATATATATCATGTATGGTGCCCAAAAATCACGCATAAATTTCAAAACATTTAATTTCTTTGTTCCCCCCAACGTAAGTAATATATAATATTTTCCTCTTATTTTCCAAAAAGCGTATACAAAACTCAATATCAAATTTCATAATACGTTGATTTGAATAGTAAATCTCGGGGAAAGTTACCAAGCATCAAGCGGATAAATTAAATGATATATCTGGAGTTACGTATTATGCAATGAATAATATTATGTCAATGATTATTAAATCAGGGGAACTAAAATAGACCCTTTAAAAAAACGAAAAATATTGCATCTGCTCATCGAAAAAAAGAAAAATATTGCATCTAACCTTTTTCAATAACTTCAGCTAAATATATACCACTCGCGTGCCTTAATTAGGTTATTTTTTCCGGGGTGTAAGTAACTATTTATTTTTTAAAAGGAGTGTGAGTGATAGTATTAGTAATTTAATACGGAGAAATTGCATATAATCAATCTTGATAAAAAAATTAATTCATTTCATTAACCCCCGAGATATACAGCATGTAAACAAAACCCAAAAAATATAAATGTGAACTGGAATCAGATATACAGCTAATCGTGTAGACCAGGTTCGAAAATTCTCCGAGACTCCTTCCTATACACGCCATGTGTGTGTGTGTGTGTGTCATTAAGAAATAAGAAATTAAATTTCCCAGAAAATGTATAGTAATAACTAATAACAACCCCTCAGAAACCCCAAGATCCGTACAGGAACATAACCCTAAAAAAAGAAAAGCCAAGTCAATGAATGTCACCTTCTGCTAAATAATTATTTTCTCAGAAAGACTTGTAAACCAAACTGCGCATAGTCTTCTCCTCAATTTCCAACACGTTTGCTTCATCTTCTTCGTCCCTTCTCTCACGTCCGTCCATCCAAATCCCATTATATATATCCACCCCCGTATGCACTCACTTGCATTCACATATCAACCAAAATCTTTCTTGTATCTTAAATTCCCCTTGCACCCTCTTTAACCAACCATGGAGGCAATCAAGAGACGTACCCTAGAGGTCACGGTCATATCTGGTGAGAACCTTTGCATCGATCGGACTCCGGCGACGGAGAATGTGTACGTGGTGGTTCGGGCAGAGTCGCTGAAGTGTTGGAGCACCAAAACGGCGAAGCAAGAAGTGGGGAGCCTAAGCACTTCATGGAACGAGAAGTTGATAATGGAGGTGCCACTGCATGCACAGTCCATTACGTTCGAAGTTCAGTGCAAGACGCCGAGAGGTATGGATCGATCTATTGGGTTGGCAAGAATAGCGATTGGGGATGTGATACCAAAGGAAGAGAAACGTTCGGAGATGCTGAGTTACAGGCTGAGGAATTGGGAAGGAAGGAGGAGTGGAGTCATCAATTTCTCAGTCCAAGTAGTGAACAAGGAACAAGAAATTACTAAGAAAGAAAAAGACTCGATTGTGGTGAATTCTGGAGATTTCAAGCCTGAGATAAGTGGAGCTCATCGTCATGATCAAGACATGAATGCCAATAATAATAATAATAATCGTGGATATGTGATGGGGATTCCTGTTTGGTGGAACCACTTTGGCATTCGTGTTTGAAGAATCATGATCCAATTTATGTTCTTTAATTATATTGATGCTCGATTGGAACCTTGCGTGGAGCTATCGGCGAAGCGGATGCCAGAGAAGCCATATGGCCGTCGTACTAATGAACTTGGCTGCTTACTCTGAGTGCTGTAAGAGTTTCTAGTGCAGTGTCGTTTCGATTTACTACCACAGTGTCGTGTGCGTGTGTATAACAAAGCAATACTATCCAAGCTACCTTTGCTATTTTTTATTGTGTCGAGACTATGCTTGAACAAATCTTATGAAATTTTATGATGAATTAGGCATCAGTCAGTTTCGGACTTTCATTGCGGCAGTAAGTACTATACTGTTCAATTGTTAGAGTGAGATATGTGTAGTCTAAATATAGTTTTAGTGCTCCAAACTTAAAATTCTAACCGGTGACTTTTGCATTGATCTAGTCAACTTGTAGTTTTTGGTTTCATTAATTTCCAGTATGATTCTCCACCTGATATTTAATATAAGAGCTAGTTGATCAGTTTGAATACATTAAAGAAGTTTGTTAAATTAATTATTTTATAGCGAATATATATTATCTTTTTTAAAATATCCTTACTAATCATGCATATTAGCTAAAACTATCATTAGATTGAACTTTTAGCATGTGTAACTAGAACCAAATTGAATATCAAAGTGGCTCTTATATTAAAGGCCAGAGGTTATATATAAACGTTGTCATTTTATGAAGATATTGTCTGGTTAATTTATTTCCCTTTAAATGTTTTGTTTTGGCATATAATATTAAATTCTATTATTGTAATTTCTTCAAAGATGAATATTGTGATATTTTGTTTATTTGAGTTGATTTCTTGGAAGTTAGCATTATTATTGCTTGATTTCAATGAGTATATATCTGCATCCTCTGGCATTAAATTCTTTTCATAAAATCGTATATTCTGTGGTCTTATAATTTTCCTAATATCTAAATATTAGGGGTTGAGACGTTCAAATATCAGGGCCCCAAATATTATAGTGCACCTTGGATACTAATCAATAGAGGGACATGATTTCATTTCAAAATAAGACTTTGATATATTTTGTGGTCTTGTTTAATATTTTTTCATATTATTTTCGTTAATTTCATATTCTTTTTTCCGCCATGACTTTATTAGTCTCCTGTGTTTAATATCCTTATTAAAGTGGGAGTATTTAAGTGTGATTAATACTCTCGCCTTGAAAATGAACTTTGTCAAAAATGAAATTACACATACTCCTCCGGTCCTAATTATAAGACCCAATTGACTTATTTGAGGAGATTAAGGAAGTAAGTTAAGTTGGTTATTTATAATAAATAAGTGTTGTTATTCCTAAAATATCCTTGCTAATTAAGTATATTAGCTAAAACTATCATTATTAGAAGGATTATCTTGGAAAAAAATGCATAAATATAAAAGAGAAAATGGATTGGGTCTTATAATTAGGACCAAATAAAAAGTCAAATTGGGTCTTATAATAAGGACCGGAGGAGTATAACTATTTGGAATCAATTCCAAATTTTTCGTTTAAAATATAAAAAGAGAGATACTATCAAATTACATCAAAATATTAACTATAATTTGTTCTTCACGTTTAAAAGTCAAACACTATCCAATAACATCCACAAAATAGTACTCATCCGGTCCTTAATATAAGACTCAATTCTTGAGTTGGTTTTGGTTCTAAATATAAAACCCATTTTTCATATTTATCAATTTTCTCTAAATTACCCCTATGGATACTCTCTCAACCATAATCATGTAGAAGAGGGAGATGAGGTATTAAGAAAGATGATTATGGTGTTTTAGGAAAAATGCGTCACTTTTTTTATAATTAACTAACTTACCTAACTTCCTTAATCTAATCAAATTAGTTAAATGGGTCTTATATTAAGGACCGGAGGAGTAATTCATAAAATAGTTATTATGCAAGCTAATATAATGTATATATAAACATTTTTAGTAGTGTTAATTATCAAATTAATACGAGGAGCAATTATTCGTTCACAACAACTTTTTTTTTTTTTCCTTTCTAGGCCATATTCCGGGCAATCCTATCCGCATTTGCACTAACGGGTTAGTTCGGTAATGCAGATTTAGCTAGTGGGCCAAACCCACCAACACGAGAAAAAATGTCTTAGTCGAGTAGGCTTAAAGCCCACTCGTACGCTAACCCCCGGCAGGTGCACATACATGCATGCATACACATACATATATTTAAATTTCTTTTTTTTTTTGATGTAACATATATTTAAATTTCTCTACTTATGATAACGACGTTATTTAGTATTACATGAGCTAAATACTTAGTCTGTGAATATTAATAAAATTATTATTATTTATAATAAATATTATAATTTTTAAATTGTTAATTATGTATATTAAAACTATTTTTTAATACAAACTTTTTTAACACATGAAATCCTTATTGAAATTACTTGTGGTTGGAGGTAGAATGAGTAAATATTTTTTGTCACCAAAAATAGATAAATATCAAAAACACAAAAACACATTATACTTTTTCGGATTGCAATAGAGGACGTGAGTAAGTAGTTGATAGTAAAACCTATTTTATATATTTATTAATTTTTTTAAATTAATTCTATTAATATTCTCTCAATAACAGTTAAGTAGGAGAGGAAGGGAGGGAATTAAGAAAGATGCTTAGGATATTTTAGAAAAATATCATATTAACTAATTTAACTAACATCTTTAATATATTTAAATTAGCTAACTAGATCTCACATTCAAGATAATTACTAGAGGTGGAACTCCTCTAGCCTGTAATGTAAGATTTATTCAATTAATTTAATTAGATTAAATAAATTAGGTAATTTAGTTGATTATAATAAATATGATATATTTTTTTCTAAAATACTATAATTATCTTTCTTAGTATACTCTCTCTTTCTTACTTGATTATGGTTGAGGAGTATTAATACCAGTAATTTAAAAAAATTAATAAATATAAAAAATATATTTTATATTTAGAATAAAAAACTCAGTAATTAGGTTTTATTATTAAGCATATTTTATACGAGGTTTTTTTTTCCTTTTTTAACAAAAAAGAATAGCCGGAAGACTCTGATTGAACAAGCGCGAATCCCCCTCTCTTCCGTCTTCCCTCTTCCGTCGCGCTTCTCCTCCTCCTCTCGCGCAAGTCCTAATCTCCAGCTCTGTCACAGTCATATTCACACCCTCCGACGTCTCTCACCGTGGACGACTACGACGCAGCACGAGTCGATGTCTCTCACTCTGTCTCTCTCGCGTGTGACGCACACCGTGACTCCTCTGTGTCTCTCTCTCGCCCTCTCAGTCTCAAGAGTGTCCGCAGCTCAAGCCTCCTTCTCCTTTTCCTCTCCTCTCTCGCGAACCTCCAACTCTGTCCCACTCTCCAAGTCCAAGTCGCCTCCCTCTCCGTCGCCTCTAGGTAACGTATGTTTGTTGTTCAATTTTATTTCGATTTTCGGACTAAGTTCCTGTTGCTGAATGCTGTACTGAAATGTCCATTTTTGAATTCAACTTGCTATACTGCTTTATGGGAAATGGGAATCTCCATTGCTGCATTTTGTTGCTGTGTTGTTGCTCACGTTACGGCAAAATAAACCTGACCAAAATAGTAGAGAAACCTGAATTGAACTTGCTGTATTTTGATTGGATTGTTGTTGAATCGAAACCATTGTTGAATTGTGTAGGGTAAAATTCTTGGGTACCTTATCGCATGACTGAACTAAGCTGGAGCATATTTGAAGATGCGAAGAATAAAATCATGATTCTGCTATTCTCAGCAATAGATATTACAAATACATAGATAGACAAGCATAACATTGCTGTAAAGGATCAAATCCTGTTGTATTTGTAATTCTGTTCATATCTTTGTTCCACTCTTTGGTGTGAGGACTTTAAGGGCTCATTTATTTTCACCCCTTACTCCTCTCTTACGTTACATCTGATTTTTTTTTTTTTGGGTCCTGGGATTGAAGATTCTGAGAAGCATATTGTTCTAGGAGAGTAAAATTACTTTTTTTTTTTTTGGGGTTTAGTTTAGCCTCTTGTAGTGACAACAAAAAGGCTCTCTTTTTCTTTGCATTGCAGATTATTGATGATCAGAAATTGCAAACTTAAATGGAAGCAACAGTTTTGCTGAATGTTTCAATCAATATGTTTATAAGCATATGTTTTGCTGTGTTTCTATCTCCAATTTTGTGGAATATTAGTATCCATTGGATTTGATGGACTGGCACGATTTACCCACATAGTAGAATCTGTCACAGTTTACAGAGTAGAGAAATTGCATTCTCTGTGTTCATTCACGGCCTCCAACAAAACAACCAACTAACTAGCCTCCGACTACTGCTGTTCCTCTTCACTACTTGCTTTATTCAGATTCTCTCATTTCTGATTTCTCCTCGTAGATTTACTTCTCTCAAGTAATGGACTTCTCAGAAAACTGGAAGTCCTTCTTCCCAGTATCTATATCTCCTTCATCCCCTATCCTTATTCCCTCTTCTGCACGGCCCACCTTGGGTCCCCTTATCTTTAATCCTATCCCTGAAACCCTAACCCATGTTTTCTCCTCCTCTTCTCTCTTACCCCCTCCTCTTCATATCCCCCAACTCTCTCTTTCTCGATTGCTCATAACCTCTTGTCCTGATGCTCCTGTTCTTCCCTCCACTGCGTCCTCTATTGCTTCTCACTGTGGTCCCCAATTCCAAAACGATATTGCCTCCATCCTTCAATGCAACCGCCTTGAGTTTCTCAAGTATGGCAATAGTGTTATTGTCTTCTTTCCCACTGGTGTGAACTCTGAGAAAGTTGGGTTTTTGATTCTCCATGTTGAAGGTTCAAGTCTACACCTTCAACTTGATGGTAATGGTGATATTTTTCGAGCTACAAGTGGAGAATCTTACAGCATATCAAGGATTTTAGTTAACCCAATTGATGATGAAGAAGATGATTTAGGTGAGTCTTCTTCTACTATTGGGTATTTGTTGGCTTTCACATGCTATTCTGCTCATTGGTTTTCTGTCCAATATAACTCAAGTTTTGAGAGACCTAGCGTAGTCTATATGGGTGGCAAAATTTTTAAGACCTGCTCTGTTGTCCATGCTTGTTGGAGTCCACACACGCTTGAAGAAAGTCTTGTTTTGTTAGAAAGTGGTGAGCTGTTCTTGTTTGATTTGGAGTATTATATGAAGGATTCTAGTTCAAATGGCAATTTTAGGGGAACTAGGTTGAGAGTACCGTGGCATGATTCAAATTGTTCTGATGACAAAGTTTGGTTGAGCTGTGAATTTAGTTGGCACCCTAGAATTTTCATTGTGGCACGTTCTGATGTGGTTTTTTTAGTTGATTTAAGTGCGGATAAATGTGTTGTGAGTTGTCTATTGAAGGTTGAGGTTTTGCATATGCATACACCCACTCAAAGTGAAAGATTTCTGGCCCTTTCAAGGGCAAGTCCTGATGGCTTCTACTTTGCTGTAGCATCCAATGCTTTCTTACTTCTATGTGATGTGCGGAAGCATATGATGCCAATTATACGATGGGCCCATGGTCTTGATAGACCTTGCTTCATGAATGTGTTAAACTTGTCTATGTTGAGATCACATTCAAGGGAAGATACTTTCAAGTCAGCTTCTGAAGTTGGATTTTGTATTATATTGGGATCATTTTGGCATGGCATGTTCAACCTCTTCTTCTATGGACCTTCATTGCCATCTCAAAGAGGTTCTCTTGCGTCAAAGCTTTCTAAGACTAGCAAGACGTTTTATGCCTGGGAGCTTCCACATGAAATTGTGTTATCTGGTCGTGATTGCCTTTGTGGAAGTTGTCTTTTAAAAGAAGAGTTGTCCAAGGCTGCTCTTCCTGAATGGATTGATTGGCAAATGAAGAAGGAGATGGTTTTGGGCTTTGGCATTATGAACAATGATTTAGCCTCCTTACTTTGTGAACCATATAAATATGGTGGTTTTACATTGGTGAGGCTAATGTCATCTGGGAAGCTTGAATTGCAGAGATATGAGGCTTCCTGGGTTCATGATAGAAAGTTAGAAGATTGCCATGAACAAGGGTTGCGTTTGGACAAATATTTATTGTTCACTGTAGGTGATGAGAAATATAAGTATCGCAAAAGTGTTGTGTTCCATAAATTGAACTTCATCAATGCATATAGAAGAGGCAATCTTACTGAATTCCTAGTTAAAAAGCTGAAAGATCCTTGTATGGATGATCAGGAGATGGGGCCCTTTGACGTGGATGTTCATGAGTTCTTGTGTGAGAAATTGAATGCTTGTGGGGTCGGCCCATTTAGATCTTCTCCTGCCATTATTGCTTTTTTTAAAGATGTAAAGCCATCAGCAAACCTCCATGACGTTGCTCTAAGACGATTGTGGGCTGAGTTGCCTTTGGATCTGTTGCAATTGGCATTTTCTAAGCATTCTGAATCCCTTGACGTGGCTATCGACCAAAAGAAGACAACTTTGGAGTTTTTAGCTGTTCCCTCCTGTCCTGAATTGCCTCCATTTTTCTTAAGGAAATCATCCTCTTGCAGCAATAAAGGGTCCAATAAGGCGCAGCGTGATGGTGATATAATGGGTCCTATTCTTCCTCTTCCTATTCTACTTGTGCTTCATGAAATTTATGATGGGTGTTCTGATTTGGAAGATGGCAAATTTTCCGTAGAAGCAGAGGTTGACATCAAATACAATGAAATTATGAAGGTGGCCGCAGCCATATCGGTTTCTATTTCTGGTTCTGAGTCGTCTGGAAATTATGAAGTATCCCTTGCTGATGATGCAAATGAAACTTGGGTTGATCCTTCGAAACTAAAACCTTTCTTGCTATATCGTCCAGCTGCATTGAACTGCTCTGGCACAAATCTTGTTTATGAGAACTCCATATATCGAGGTAAGATTCATGATACATTAATTTTTCATGTTCTGGAGGAAAAGACGGTTTCCAATGATAAGTCTGAGTCTGAGCTAGTGGGTCCAGAGATATTTGATGACCTTTGCTTAGTTGACTTGAGATTTAATGCTCCTAGTAAGAAATTTGAAGGCGGGGGTTTAAAGGCATTCGATGTATTGAAGAGGCAGCTGTCTAAATGGCAAGAAGGTGTTGATTCATACAAAGAGCTTACTGTTCAGTCTGGATTTCTGAAGCCAGTCAGTAAATGAGTCCTCAGCACAAAATTATTGGTGATAAAACCTGAAGGTGTAAATATTTTTAAGCAAACAAATTTTAAGGTCAGATTTCTTCAACCTCTTTTTGTCCTTTGTTTGATATCCACAATTTTATAATTTTTATACCCAGTCGAGGGATTAAATTTATGGATGCACAAATTCTCATTTAGGCCCTCTTTTCTAGTGAAAAAAATGGGGCTCAAAGCCAAGAAGAACAAGTCGAAACAAGCGTCTAAGACCTTGAGCCCCAGAGTGGGTCAGTGTTCATAAAAGAGTTATTGTTCATTCAAGCAGCGTGGCTCAATAGTGGGCTTGTTCTAACTCTTATATTCCCTTTCGAATTTGAACTTAATGAACTTTCATATATGAATTGAAGCTGGATTTCTTCGTCAGATGGTTAGTTTAATGCTTCCCTCTATAATCGCGAATTTCACATCAAAAACCAATTGAAACAATTTGTAATAGCAGCAACCTGGTTTCTTGAATCTCATTCATGAGAGGACAAGAGGTTAAGCGCTTCAGCGCAGTGGGCATGGGCTATTGTTTTCCCATCGACATTACAATGGGCCACAGACATGAGCCCAAATGTACAGAGCATGGGCCTTTATGGGCTTGTAGTTCTCTCTGCATGCCCATCAATCCTTGAACATATTACTACAGTACTTAACAGACTTAATTATGTACCATAAAAACAAAATTGTCCTCGAGGATTTGGGAGGCGGGAAAAAAGAAGGCAATGTTCCTTAGCACGCTATTTTTTTTTATTTGGGTGGTATATTTTTGTGTTTCATGCAATGCCATGGTGATTTGCTATTGCATGTCCATCTTTTTTCACAGACACTTTACAAAGAAATAAACAGACTTGGCCCACCCGATCTCAATCATGTGAGATAATCATGCAATTTTTGGTCGGCGCTATATTCATGTGGTGATTAAAGTTGCGACAAAATGAAACTTTTGCTATCTTTCTTTACAATCAAATCAAATTGATTCCTTAAAATTACTACTATCAGATCTTTTATTTAATAAAGGAAACAAAATGTAGGATCCGAATTTTGAAAAAAGGATGCAAGATGTGGGATATAGTATATGGTTTTAGTTTAGATTTCTCGTTGGCGAAAAAAAAAAGGTTTGGATTTCTTATATTATAGTTAAAAAAAATACATATTTATTGCTATCGAAAAAAGTACCTTTTTAAGCGAAATATGGCTCTTAAAATTAATTTGGATGGTTTAAATTTATATAAAACATATTCTTATTGTTGGTTAAAAAAAGAGGGCACAGTTAAATATTTTGAATTGATCGACTGATTAAAATGGATTATGGTTATAATTAATTTCAAGTAGACTATTTTTTGTCAAAAGGGAGAAACCAAATTCATGTTCACATTATTTAATTTAATGTCGCTTAACTACCTAACCTAAAGTCAAAAAGAGAGCTCCAGACTTTGGATTGATCAGATTCAATTTGACATAAAATGATTTATTTTTCTCGACGAGTGGAGAAAATTCTGAAGTGGTTGTGCCCAGACACAATACTCTTTTTTTTTTTAAACCATTTTTTTGATATTTCAGACGACAAGTTCTGGTGAGCCTGAATAATGACTTTTGAATTAATAATTTGCAACAGTTTATTAGAAAAAGGATAAATGAAAGGAGAGCGATCATTCGATGAAGAAAATAGACCCACCTAATAATTAAGAATAGCATAAAGCATATTGAACTTCACTTTTGGTGAACTTTACAATATTCTTTAAATACACATAAATTTTTATACCTAAGTTTATTTCTGAATCAACTTAAAAAAAATATTTTCATTTTATTTTATTTTTGGTTTTTTAATTAAAACATCGGACAAATATCGCCCTCACTTTAGAGGCTTGACCAATTTAGGTCAAGATTTATATAGTTGTTATTATTATTGTTGCTGTATAATTAAAATTACAGTCAATTTTCGTCGAGATTTGTGGAGATGACATGATGTTGATGTGGTAATGATGCATTGCCTTAATGCGTGATGTTTGACCAAGAACTAAAAATCTTTTTTTTTTTCCTTCAAATATTTTTCATTTATGTTCATAATTATAGATACAAATGGTAAATGCTATAAAAATTAGAATGAAATCAATCTAAATTATAACATAATTGTTTTTACCATCAAGCATTGGTCCTCAAAAAGTTAAATAATTAAAAAATAATAATTTAGGGCGTCTGAAAACCTGGAACCAATAACCAAAAAAAATAAAAATAAAGATGATTAAATCATCCTTCATTCAGATTATGCACATGTGATGTTTGTTTTGATGGGAGAATTGAAGAGCGAGTATAAAGAAACGAGGCACAAAATTGCTTTTCCTTGGAGAAGGAAACAAAATATTACTTGCAAATAACAAAAGCGGTCGAAGTAATTTGTTAGCAAAATAGTATTACTTTAATATATTTTTTTTTAGCTTTTGGGCGACAAATAATGTGGTAAAAAATGAATACACAAATCAAAGTAGCATTTAAAAATTTTTGAGCATTAAATACTACTTTTTCAAAAGTATATAAAAGAAGGCCATCTGGTTGGTGACAAGAAAAGTCATCCGAAAGAGAGAAAAAGTTCATTTGGCAGTTTTTTGGGCTGAAGTTTCCTGCCTTCTACACAATCGGTTCATATTTTATTTTTGGAGTGTAATGCGTGATTTGACTTTATATTCAAGTTTTGACCACTTATTAATATATATGAACTTGAAACTATTTGAATGATTGTGAATTTTAATTTAGGTCCCTAAACTACAGCTTTTTACTGGTTTAAATTCTTGGCCACGAGGGCTTTTAAAATGATTTGAAATTTTAATACATTTTATTACAGGTATTATACTCATCAAAATTTTGGTTATATTCTCTTCGATACATTGAATAAGACAGAACAAAATAAATAAAATGGAAATGAAATGTTAAAATGCGATTTAAATCTTGGATGATTAAAAAGAATGATATGCAATTTCATGCAAATGTGCGATTTAAAATAACTTTTGAAGACCCGAAAAAGATGCTAAATGCGGAAAGTTAAAAACGCAATGCCCAAAAATTGACATTTTGACGGAGCGCTTTCCTGGTTGAATAGGAACCACCCACAAGTTACAGCTTCGCAGATGATAATGCATGATGAAATGAAAAATTTATTTAATTTATATATAATTTTTAAATGATACAAAAGTGGCCGGCATATATTTGATCGAAAATATATTTTGAATGATTATACAAGAATTATTAGAAGGTGGCTAATGCATTATAAAAGTGATGTCTAGCTTCATTCCTACATAACATGGCTGCATAATGATTACTTATTTTAATAAGACTGTGTTTCTATTTATTAGACAATTCACGAAATCTAAGCAGTCGTTGATATATTTTTTTCCCAAAAAAAAACGCTTTTAATTTTTCTGAGCAAAATAAAAATGTTTTTAATTAACCACCAATAGACAAGAGAGACAACATTGGAATCTCAGTCCAAAAAATAATTGGGGTCCCGTAATTCAAATAACACTCAGTATCTTACGTAATTTTTTTTTTTAAATGTGAGATCATGAATTCGAATCATGTAGCTTTTTAAATTAAAAAGAATGAAGTAGCAAAAATATGGCTTAACTATATTTCATGTTAACTTTCTTATTTTTTTTCATAATATAGTGATGTAAATATGTTTTGTCATTGAAATTTTAAAATAAAGCTTCAGGTGAATGATAAATTAAATTTGATTTTTAAAATGTGAAATTTAAGTGCAGCGGCAAATGGGCAAACCACAACGCTCCGCGGAATATTCGTTTAATAAAATATGGCATCTTTGTCTGAAAATCCCAATTCCCGCAAATGAATGACCCGCCTGAGGATGTTTCCGTAACTTTGCCTCACCAAACTGAAGCTCGCCTTTATCTCCAAAGAGGAAGATCTGAGCCGTCCAGTTTTATCTAAAGAAGGATGGGCGATCACGATTCCATGTTTGACTGACGTACAATGAGGCCAGAAATGATTAATTGTGATTGAAGTTTGACCATAGAAAATTGAAACTGCGATTAAAATATTTCCTTTTTTAAAAAAACAACAAAAGGCCACCTGGAAGCTCGGCCCCGAGCAGAAGAGAGAGAAACCGGGAGGTCATAAGATTGTGTGCTTGGCTCCATTTTTCATCCCATTTTCTGTTTTGATAGCTGGAAACCTGGGGACGGTGGGAGGAAGGGAGAGAAAGTTGAATTTCTCTCTCTTCTGTGCATTTCATTTTTGAACCTTCTTTTCTTTTTTTTGAATTTTTCCGGTGTGGTTTGAGGGATTCATTAGGGTTTGGATTGGGTCGTCTTGCGTCGTTGGTGGAAACCGAAACCATGAATATGATGCGACGGCTGAAGAGCATTGCTTCTGGGCGGACCTCCATTTCGTCGGATCCTGTAAGCCAAACAATTTTCCTGAGAAGTTTTTATTTTTTGTCATTTTAAGGGAGCTCCCTGCTTTGTTTGGTTGCTGGAAAATGGAAGAAGCTAGATGCGGAAGGAACGAATACATTTCCGATCTGGATTGAAATGAATTTTTGAATGTTCTTTTGAAAGTTGTGGGAATTTTTCTTTTATGGCTACCCGGAGGAAACTTGTTATAGGGACGAGTTTTTTTCTTATTTTTTTTTAATTTTTTATGAATGATCTTGTTCTGAAGATTTCAAATTTGCTGATTTTTATTCACGAGTTGTCGCGCATGAAATTCAATTGCTTATATCTTTTTCGTCCCTTAGTTTTTGGCTTTTTTAAACCTTTCATCGTTTCTGTCGTTTGACTGTTTGTGATCACCTTTTTTAAAATAGCTGTTCCATTCATCAGGTTTTGTAATATGTTTGTGGTTTTAACCTGATACAAGTTTAAAGTTCTTTTGAAGAAGGAAAGGAAAGTGCCGTCAGCCATATCACGTTTCAGTTCCTTGATTGTATTCCATATTTGTTTGGATTCTTGTTTATTTCACAGCTACCGGAATTTATTTGAATATTTGTCATTTCTGGTGTTTCGTTTATGGAAAAGACAAGACGGAGCCATAACCTTCTATAGGACGGGATTATTGGATTTAATTCTTCCTTTACTGAACTAAATATTTGATGATCACGCGTTCAAGCCCTGGCTGCTGTCTAACCCACTCGCCACATAATGCACAGCTTTGTCTTCTGAACCCTCCTGATTAACCATATCTGGCTTGGCCTAGCTTCACTTACGAAATGCCTTGCGTAGTTTACGCAATCAATGAAACCTAAAATTAGGTTGTACTTTTTGCTGGCGTACAGTTTATACCTTTTGATGAGTAAATTGCGTTTTTAGTTTTAGGCTATTGTAATTGTCATTACGTAAATTAAGGAAGGTAAGAACTAAATAACA